CGTAATAAATTTCGTAGATATACGAGACGCAGGTCCTGTTTGCACGTACGCGAGGGAAGGGAGAAAATGTTGCTCCTCCTTGTTGTCGTCGTCGCCGTCGAATAGAACGAGACGATATAACCTGTTGCTGTCAAGACTACCGACGTAGGGAAGAAGGGAAAAAGATTGTAGTTTATATCCATCCATCTCGTAAAACCTAATGGTTTAGTGCAATGCAGATACGATCCGTACGAAGTATGAGAAAATGGGAGAAAACATCGACATGTCACACCCATATAAGAGGATGATCGCGGTTGGGTTTTTTCTTCTTTTTCCTTAGGACTCTCATTACACATCTGCGAATCCAGAAACGACATACTCCGTCGATTTCGCGATGTTATTTCCGTTCTTTGATGAAAGACTGCTGCCAAATACCGAAATCTTTGGATGAAAGAGTGTTCGCAAAATCTGTTTTTCACTTTTTTGACTGTTTCTCAATAGAGAACAAGTTGTATAAATCAAGATTTATACATGCTTGAATATGTCATATATATATATAAAACATGTATCATTTATTATTTTACAATTTATTGTAATAAAATATCATTGATTATTCTACAATTTATTAGACCCTCAATTATGTATGTAATTATAGTGACTTTTAATTGGGGTGTAAAAACCCAGGTATCATTTATACATAAAACTATCCAATAGCAAAAATAGTCAAAATAATGACAAATAACGTCAGCTACTTGACTGCTTTAGGATTAATAACGCGACTTCTGTCGATTAGGAGATTTCATCCACGAGATCAGCGTTGAGAGTTTCCGTTGGTCGAATTCACTCTCGTAAAATTCTCGGCGCAGCAGTACTGATTTCCACTCGTTGCGTGATACACTAATATTGCACAATGCTTTTAATTCCCATTCTAAGATCATATGCCTTGCTTTAACGCGGGAGGCTTTGAGGGGCTATAACTCCGTCATGGTCGTTAGTCATGTTATGACACCTTATGAATCTTATTAACGTCTTGACCTGTAGTCACAACCGTACATTATATACGAATGGTTGAAGACAATAATAGACATATAATTATAACAGCAAACGTAGGAAAAGATATTTCCATAAATGAAATCGAATTTTCAAACGGGAAGAAGGGATAGGAAATGGAAAAAGCTAGTTGTTGTGTAAAGTAAATTCTTTCTTTAAAATATATCGCTTTCTTCCTCTCAACGCGCTAAAATACTCGTATATGTTTCCTCTCTTATTTCCTAGAATAAGAATAAGGCACAGGTTTGAATCATCCCGAAGACAGGCTCTCCGTGGACGCGGGAGGATTCGAACGAGATCGTGCAGAGATACATTCGCGCAGTTTCCGCAACGTCCGTCTGACGAAGTATACATCCTTGCGGTTCACTCCCGCGAGGAAGGTAGAACTGGGTAGAACTTTTCCTCCGTTGGTTCGT